CCCGCCTCACCCAGGCGGGAGCAGCCATTCGATGATTTTTCCCCCTTAAAAAAACGCCTAATTTCATTATATCATTTGACAAGGTTCTATATCCAACCGTGTCAGTTTGTATGTATGACGCAGAATTTCCAACATGTTTATTTGTTTTTTCAAAGAACGTTGGGACTCTAGGATTTTCTTCGGTATCGTGGATGCGCTTACAAATATACAATTTTACGTACACATGATACTTAGACCCGGATAACAATTTGGATCACACAAAGAGTGGTTCCGTGCGGGAATCGAACCCGCGACAATTGTGGACAGATGTTAAAAAGTCCTTTATTTGTTATTACAATCTTATTTTTTCGAATGCCTCGTTGGTCGAGTGGTCGCAAGTGCGACTGCCGGGCAAGGGATCTCGGGTTAGATTTCCGGGTCGGGCAAAGTATTACTGGGTTTATTTAAAAATTCTCAGTAGTAGCACGGAGTCTGGAATTGTATACCCTGTATTTACCGGGCACAATTCCAGACTCCATAGGCTCACCCCCTATTACATGGGACTCATAACATAAATAGTGAAAAGTGAGTGTTACATTGTAGTTTGGCATTGGCATAATGTGCACCTCTGCCTACCCCTTCCGGGATAAAAGGCGTGATGTTATGTTATTTTTTCGAATGTTTAGTGAGAATCTACCGCGCCGTATGCTTTATTAATCGATTGAACAATTTTAAGACAAAGGAATAAGTGATTTACTTTAAGTGGCCTTGGACTGCTGTACAAACGGAACACAGGCATACCTACTACACCAGTCAGGTGCATTTTCTTTATGAGATAAGCCGGTAAAGGGCAGACGGATCACCTGATGGTAAGCAATCGGCGTCGCCAATGGACACCCGAAACAACAGAGGCGTTAAAGTGCATTACCGGCCTTTTGGGAATTAGGAGTTTGAGAATCGTTGGGGATTCAGGAATTGGGGAGACTGGGGAAGGGGGTAATTGGGTCTCCGGTAACTTCACTCACACAACGAAACACAACGCAAGCGTTGCTTCACGTCGGTTTTCTGTAAGGCCGTGGTATTACTCTGGTCGAGCCAGCCCATTCGTGCCGAAGCTTGGCTTTCCCACATTCAAATAATTTATATGCATTACAATAATTTATGGATCAAATGAAGGTTTTTTTTAGACGTGGAACCATACTTTACGGACCGTATTTTTTTTAAGGAGGGAAAATCATCGAATGACTACTCCGGCTTGGGTGAGGCGGGAGGGAGTGTCAGACTCTTACTGACTAAATACCACCCCATTCCTTCTCCTGCACTTCGAGCCGGAGCCCCGGTTACCCGTTAGGTTCTCCGCGACTTCGAATTGGCATCGGCCCTGTTGGGCGCCATCTGTGGTGATCTAATGGCTCTTTGAGGCGCACCGTTTACGGGCCGTATAAAGAATTGATAATGCGGGTATGAAACTCGAGACATTGCGTAGCAGCCAGAGGCCTTAGTACTAGTTTGTTTTACGTTTAAAGTAATAGTAACGAGTCCGCGTTCGGCGCTGTGATTGGCCAGCACCAATGAACCAACCAATCAGAGCGCCGGACGCGTACTCGTTACGATACTCGTACTAAGGCCCAGTTGTCCAACCATTGAGTTAACCGTGCAGTTATTGTGTGACAGACACATTTTCATTCGAATATATTAATAACTAGTTGCATGATATTATCATGATTAAATTGATATGAAATCGTTTTGGTAAAAACCAAATTGCTCAATTAGTGTTGTAATTAAATGTCGAGATCAAATGGACGTGTGGTTACAACCACAATCATAATTTTAATGTTTACCGAAATATATATGTAATTGATAAAGTAATATTATGTTTTATAATTTTTTATGGTATAAGCCGGTATCCGAGCAGACGGATCGCCTGATGATAAGCAATCGGCGTTGCCCATGGACACCAGAGGCGTTACAAGTGCGTTACCGGCTTTTTGGGGATTAGGAGTTTGAGGATCGTTGGGGATTCAGGGATTGGGGAGATTGGGGAAGGGGAGGGTAATTGGGCCTCCGGTAACCTCACTCACACGACAAAACACAACGTAAGCGTTGCTTCACGTCGGTTTTCTGTGAGGCCGTGGTATTACTCTGGTCGAGCCGGCCCATTCGCGCCGAAGCATGGCTCTCCCACACTTAAAAATTACGTTTGCGAGTACTGAATAGGACACTTTTTCATATTAAATGGGACTGAAGTTTGACCACTATCTCGCCTGGTGGTAAGCGATGATGTGGCCTACGATGGAGCACGTCAACCCATAAGCAACCTATTCACTCGGGCCTTGAAGATAACCAGGTTATACCCTTCAGGAAATACAGACTCTGGCAAAGAATTCCACTCCTTAGCAGTACGCACAAGGAAGCTTGATGCGAAGTGATTCGTGTGAGTGGATATCTACCATGAATCGGTAACGCTTCGCCTTGTCTTGTGGTACGATGATGGATGATGATGATGATGATGATGATTATGGATGATGGATGGATGATCAATGTTTTCATATATTTTAAACGGTTGCGTTTGCAAAAATAAAAATTAACCATTTCGGATCCGGAACATCAGTTGTTGATCGCATAAAGAAATTATTATTCGCGGGAATCGAACCCATGGCAGGGGCAAATAAATTATACATAATCCTTAACATTATTCCTTCGATTACGCAAATATAGGCGTATTACCTATTTTCTACAAATTCACACACACATACATACATCACTTAGTAAATCCAATAAAGAATTTGTTCCGTGCGGGAATCGAACCCTTTATCTTCAAGAGCGAGTTAAGAAGCACTACCTCTCTTCTCTGTAATGTCATCATGAAACTGTTTCCTTTTATGTGATCCATAATTACGGCATTTTTAAGTGTAAGTAGGTATGTAATCATGTATGTATGTGTATATGTATGCATGTTTATTACTGCCTCATTGGCCGAGTGGTCGCAAGTGCGACTGCCGGACAAGAGGTCTCGGGTTCGATTCCCGGGTCGAGCAAAGTATTACTGGATTAAAAAAAAATCTCAGTAGTAGCACGGAGTCTGGAATTGTGCCCGGTATATGGCAATAGGCTCACCCCCTATTACATGGGACTCATAACATAAATAGTGAAAAGCGGGTGTTTGTTCTGTGTGCACCTCTGCTTACCCCTTCGGGGATAAAAGGCGTGATGTTATGTTATGTTATGCATGTTTATATGTATGTATATGTGTATGTATGTATTGTTATAACTTTATTTATTTATTTTCTCAGTACACAACCAGTCTTAATCTTTCTTTTTCTATATATCCACCTAAAGGTTGTCTGATAGAAATCACTATAAGTGATTAGACCGCCTTTGTGTCCATTATTATTTTTATTTATGTTTGTCATTTCCTTTTCTGTATGTACCATTTTATAAATGGTGTACAATAAAGTTTATTCTATTCTATTCTATGCTTGATGCGCTCACAAACACAGACATACAAATTCACATTCACACCACAATCACGCCTATAGCAAAGAAATTGTTCCGTGAGGGAATTAATAGATGCACGCTGTACCAACTTGTGGATCACACAAATAATAGATGCGAGCAGGAATCGAACCCGCTGCATATTGGACAGCAATGTCTTAAGATGTAAGCAGGAAACACTTAAAAATTAGTATTAATTAATAATTACGCTTTTTAATTCTTTGTAAATGAGGGCAGAATTAAGTTTATACTTATTATTTTAATATACCGACCCAGATATCGAACACAGGACCTCCTTAAAATCAGGAGTCGCGCTTATAACCAATAAGCTTCAAGCACTTATATGTTACCTATAGATAATTTTACTAATAAAACCTATAAATGCTTGTTGGCTCAGTGGCTATAAGTTTGCATTCTTCTACTGACGTGCCGAGCACGAGGTCCGCGGTCCGATCCTGGGTCGGAAATGAACCAGAAATAATTTTCCAGTTTTTAAAAAAAACTTAATTTCAGTGTCTTAAAAAATAGCCCTCGTTTACTTAGAACATATTTTTTTTAATCTTAATTGCTGAATAAATAATATATTCCTGCTTGCAACTTGAGATAAAATTCAGCGTGGTTTCACATCAACTGACAAGCAAACAATGGAACATGAACAACTCATGTCTAAACCCACAAATTGAACTGTCAATCAAATCACAACCCTAACTAGAAACAGAAACACAGGTAATCTATGAACACTACATTTCGAAAATTCAACCTTAACGGTAATTTAAATTGGGTATAAGATTCTATTTCTAATTATAAATACTAACTAGAAACATATTTAGTCCGCCACAGCTTTTCTCAGCATCAATAAACACTTCAGTTTTTTTTAATACTAACTAAATGCAGAGAGTCCTAAATTCTAGAGTACTCTAAAAATAGCCCCAGTAAAAAATTAAATAGTTCGACAACAGCAATGTAATTGACGAAAAATTGCACAGTGAAGTATAAGATATTTTATTAATTTTTTTAATTACACCCTTCGCAAACGCAACGCAATTTTTTAATTTGTTACAAGACAAAGGAACTTTATGAAAATTGCTGTGAAACTTTCGCCGAGAGGAGCGCGCTGGTTAGAAAAAAATTGGTATGATTATCAGAAATTGGAAATAAAAAGGAAATGAAATGTAATTAAAAATATTAAAATAAAATTTTAAATAATATAATACTTTTTATTAAAACTTTTTATCATTAAACTGCTTTTTTAAGTTTTTTTTTAGAAACAGAATATTTTTTTAATTAATCCTTGCCCCAAAAATAAATTCTTTTTTCAAATCTCACATTATTCAATATTTGAAATTAACTAATCCCTTTAAAAATGTACAAAATATTTTTACATGAAGCTTAAACTTTATTATTAATTTCACTATCGCACCCAGAAAAATATAACTTAGAAACTTTACAATTTTACGCGTTGAAAAAATAAAATAATAATAAAAATTAAAAAAACATAAATTAAAATAATAAATAAAATTACTTACTGCTGGCCTCATTTTGGACACTTAGAATTGTTTCGATTCGCGTATTAGATATATTGCAATATAGTGCACGCGTCCGTTCGCACCGAAAAGTTCCCGCGGACTAAAGTTTGCACCTCCCCCGGGTGGTCAGGTAGTGCAGGCGGGGGGGGGGAGGGTTGCAAGATCGGGGTGGGCCACCCCCACCGCACCCCCCATTGCACCCTGTAACATTTCCAGTAACTCTGATGGTTCGGTACGAAAGATTTTGTTTTTGAAAATACTATTTTTTATTAAATTTATTTAAAAGCTACCAACATTTTTGTAGCTGCATTTTTTAGTGTCAGATATATAGTATGTAATATGTACGTATGTATTTCTTTATTTTAACATCACGTTTGATTTTCGCTCGACCTGATGCCATTTTTACGAATATTTTATTTTTCTGAACTATACAAATATTGTAGTTTTTACACATATATACTGTTGCGTTTGCAAATATGTAATATTTATCGATATAATGAATGAACATTTCCTATCTTTTACACGGAACCTTCTAAATGGATCTTCTTTAAGCAACAAAACAATTAATAAATCTATGACTGTGGCGCTAGTGTCGTTTTAGGTATTTTTGTACATTATAGGAATAGATTATATGTATTTTCAGAGAGAGAATAATTATTTTGCCGTGGGATTTGCGCTCGCTCTTACGCATCTCTAAAATTACCTATCGGATTTATAATGTTCCATATTATGATAGTGCTATTCTTTTAACAAGCTAATCAGTATTATGAACGTAAATATGAATAGGTGGATAGATGGATAAGCCATGATGCAAGTCGAGGATTTACTTACCTACATATGACATACATACACTACGGAAATATTCTTTTAAGACTTTTTTAACTACCGAAATATTTTTCAGTTAAATGTTAAGTATTGCTCATTTTTTTTAGTTTTTTTTTTATAAAACTTTTCTCCACACTAGGATTTCCTTCTGTGCCGTGGGCGCGTTTACAAACACACCAGTTCACATACACATCACACCTTGAAATAACAATTTGTGGATGACACAAAGTGTTGCTCCGTGCGGGATTGGAACCCGCTTCATGTCGCGCAGCAGCCGGTTGCCCAGCCACCGCGTCAACCGTGCAGTCAAAAGATCCTAGGTACTTAATTACATGACAATCGAGACAATTCGAAAGCTTCACTGAACCCAAGAGAAGAATTTAGACGAAGCCCCTTTGAGGCTAGCACTCAACTAATAAACCAGTGCTCTCAATTAATCTGAATAAACAAACATTGCTACACTTTCATATGAACGATGCGAAGTTTATAATTGCTTCGCCCGCGTAGAATTTACATTTTTCTCTTGCAATGAAAGTAGAGTTACACTACACCCGTGACTTTGCAATGGTGAACAAAATTTCTAATTGGTTTTGGTATTAGTTTGGCCACATGACAGCTTTTCAATGAAACTCTTTCATATTTGTAACTAGCTTCTGCCCGCGACTTCGTACGCGTAATCCCATTTTTTCCCGACCCCGTTCGTGATTTTCGGGGAAAAGTTAAAAAAAAATTGGTCAAAAAGTATCCTATGTCGGTCTCCTGGCTCTAAGCTACCACCATATTTTCAGCCAAATCGATTTAGCCGTTTGAGTTATAAGTGGTGTAACTAACACAACTTTCTTTTATATATATAGATATTAGTGTAGATATGTCAGTTCTATCGTATTTATTTATCTAACAGAACCGTTAACAACAAAGAATAAAGTATTATAGGTAACTTAGAAGTAATAACAGTATCCAGCTTATTGCAACCGATTCAATAACTTTATAAATTGTTCTGTGATCTTACGAAGCAACTGAACGATTCTCGCGGGGTTTCATTGCATCCTTTAAGGCTGGCTACCGGGGACGCACTTGTGCGCTCTCAACAAGTGACAAGTCTGCTTCGTTTGCCTCCTATTCTACAAGTAAAACTATCTGAGACGCCTAATTTGTAAATGCCAAGATTAAGTTCATTTTGTATGCATGATACGATATTGGTGATAAATAACGTACAAAAATAATAATTAATATGAACTCACAAATTAGTTATACGTCATCGTAGAAAGATTAGAAATCTGTAACTACCACAAAGCAAGCTATAGGGCATATTTAAAAGCTTCTCCTGTTTACTAAGTCTTCTTTCTTCTTTACAGTTCAGAAGTAATCTAACGTCGATATGAATAGCTGAACGTAAACTTCTTTGTACTATCAACAGGTAATATTTATGTCATGTAGAGATTACACGCGAGGGGTAACAATACCGATGCAATAAGTAGCAATAATATGATCTTAGTCCACATGCTAGCTAACCTATAATACAATAACGCGCCTTTGATAAACATACATTATATTGGTTACACCAGAATGTTTATATTAAAACTTTTGTGAGAGACAATAAATTAAATGTTCCATGCTTCGGCACGAATGGGCCGGCTCGACCGGAGTGACCCACGGCCTCACAGAAAACCGACGTGAAGCAACGCTTGCGTTGTGTTTCGTCGTTTGAGTGAGGTTACCGGAGGCCCAATTACCCTCCCCTTCCCCAATCTCCCCAATCCCTGAATCCCCAATGATCCTCAAACTCCCAATCCACAAAAGCCGGTAACGCACTTGTAACGCTTCTGGTGCTCCAGGTGTCCATGGGCGACGCCGATTGCTTACCATCAGGTGATCCGTCAGCTCGTTTACCGGCTAATGCCATAAAAAAAATACTTTCTGCTTACGTGACTGAGAGTAGCAGCGCGACAGTCATCGCGTCGTCGCGGGTCGCGGAATGCTGCTCATGTACATGAGCCTCTAACATGACTTGAAACTAGTCGAGTTCCTCGTCAAACCGTTACGAGAGTAACCCTAAAAGATATTAATTAAGACAAGAATGTTTTCTATCGCTAAGACTAATCATTTTTACAATATTAAAAAATCCTGCTCCAATTATTTTTTAATCTACGGACATCCGTTGGTAGGATTAAAGGTAAGGATGTAAGGTAATTAGGTATGTACCTTCATCAAAGCATAGTTCCGAAGAAATGTGAAAATATATCTTAGTCTATCCGTTTTACTAACAAAATCTTTCATAAATATACGGAAAATCTTCTTTCGTTACTTACCGTTAGGGTTTAAAGAGAAATAGAAATGTTTCATATCTCTTCCATTGAGATCACCTTTGACTGCACTGGATTGAAAATACTCAGTTTTGTTGAACTGAAACAACTTATCCACGCTAAGCCACCTCGTAGACAGTCAAAGGTATATTTATTCAAACACTGAAAGTTATCTTATCCTACAGCTACACGATTGTCGAACTTATTACCAGGGCAACAAAACAACATTTTAATTAAATTGTTTGGGGTTGTGCATCGTTTTAGGCAGTGATATGAGCCACCAACGTTGGAAGGTCTTTCACCACGTTTAATTCTACCACGGTCGGGGATCAGGAAAAAGCAGTGAGAGTGTAGGTTCCCCTCGCCATATCGCAAGTTCATTAAATCCGTTTTGATTAAATGTGCATAGGTGCAATTACAATTTGGAAGAGTTCTAGCTGTTGAGAGTACTAACTAAGGAAGAGATTGAAGAAAGATTTTTAAAGGAAAATATTGCTATATGGTGAAATGTAAGTGATTGAACTGGGCCAGACAATCCACAAACATCCCGATCGTGAGGAAAGCTGTATCGGCCTCCAACACGTGTCTTTTTATTTTTGAATGAATGGGAGGAAAGGTAACGTTCGCCTAACATGATACTCCACAGCTTCAAAAGTCGAGTTACATCAAGGTGCCTACACGCCGTGGTGTCTTCGTCTGTTAGCATATTGAGAGCACTAGTACATACTCTGTCCAATATTTGACCGCAAAGTATTGCTTGTAGTACTTGTGCTTTCTTTGTCGGACAATCTTGAGTACCTATATCGGGTATACAAAGTTTCAAAGACTTATTAATTAATACTGACACAGTTTCAGGCTTTGGTACATAATAGTACCTAATTACTTATTCAGAAAGTAGCTAAGTGACTACTTTTATAACTTAGGTCCTGTGTGAATATTGTAAATTGTCTGCTTTATTAAGTGGGTCTGGTGGCTCTTGTGCTGAGTTCATTTTAAGCCTCTCTTTAATATAACTAGAAAATACATTTTCTCCGTAGTACCCGATACACTAAGAGCAATTGGCTTTGTTAGCCTTGCTCCTGTATCAAAGGTTTTTCATAGAGTTACTTGAGTAAACAACGTCGATGGTTGAGTAGTTCGGTAGTCCGACTGCTGATTAACGATTTGATTTTTTGATGATTTTTTAAAGTAAAACGTTGCCCTGCACTTGCGTTTTGTCCTGCGTAATGGGTTTTCAAATTTACAATTTACATGTACACAATGTACACCCGGAACAACAATTTGTGGATCTATTGGTATTTAGTGATAGGCTCACCTGTAAATCGAGATTCAATTTACTCGGAAGTCGGTGTTACATTGTACGTACAGTCAGCAAAGGCATTGAGTATACATGTATGGAAATAAAGTTTATGCAGTATAGCCACAGTACCCATTGGTTGAAAACTAAGACTACCATTGGCAGGGGCGTAGCTAACTTCATATCTGTATTAATTATACGGCGCCCCTGCAGGCCGGGGGCAACACGCATAAGACAAATTTAATGACAACACCCCCATTTTTATTTTATTTTAGTAGATAATCACAAAAGTCAAAATAAACCATTTTTACCCGCGTAAAGTATCGGTTCAAAGATTGGCAAAAACTTAGGAAAACTAGAGTGGGTATATATATGTGTATTATAGTTCAATAATTTGGGCAAGAGGAGTTGCTTGGAAAGTTCTTTAAGTTTCATTTATTATTAATATTGTATGCATAAACTTCAAGACGCCCGCTTCTCATGCATGAGGGGACAGGTTCGAAACCTACCAACGGCAAGTACCAATGTGACTTTTTCCGAGTTATATGTACTTTCTAAGATTATCTAGACACCGCTGACAAACGGTGAAGAAAAACATCGTGAGGAAACCTGGGCTTATAATTTCTAATTATATTTTTGTAATCGCCAACGCGCATTGAGCAAGCGTGGT